CGTGATCTTCGGAAAGTGGGTTTGACCTGCTCTTTCGGAGGTGGGCAGTTGGTTTAGTGACGTGTCCCCGCAGAGGGGAGCATATGGAAAACGTGCGCATGGCACGTAGTTCTCCCCGCGGGGGGGAGCTTGCGAGGTCCCCCGGAGGTGTGTTGTTCTCCCCGTGGAGGGGAACACACACGGACGCGGGGAAGACGTGTTGTCCTGCTCGTGGCATGGGGATTCTGCCCGCGGAGGGCTGTTCTGCCCAACGAGGGGAGAGCCCCGAGGGCGCCTTGAGGCACGTCGTCTTGCTCGACTGGAGCATATACTGCCCGACGAGGGGGTCGCGTGCCCGGTCAGCCTAATTAAATCATACTGGGCCTTGGCTGCGCATCGTTGGACTGGGCCGCGAGGTGAGGGTCGGGCCCAAGCCAGAACATAATTTTTTTTTAAATAATACTCCCTCTGTTTTTTTTATAAGTCGTTTTAGACTTTTTTACAGATACCAAGGAAGTTATTAACTTTTGCTAATTTTGTAAATATATTATAGGGTATTCCAATATTATCCTTTTTAAAAACACTCAAAATCTCTTGTTTCAAAATATACCAGATTAATCATTATGATTTGTCGATGGAATATCTAGATTGCATTTATTCCAATATATTCCATGAATAAAACATTAAATTAATTAAATTTATACGTGTCTTTTTCTATCCTACACTAATTCCTTATTTTTCTCTCTCCCAAATTTTTCATCACTCACCAAAAGATACGCTAAAGCACTCTGAGAGAAAAAATTAAGATTTTTTTTTATCGATGGATTTTTGGGATATTCCATTGCCAATTTTTTTAAGAATTTTTTTGTTATGATAGGAAGAAGGATTAAAAAAATGCACAATATATAAAACTTGAGAATTCACATTGAGGAGAGATATTTCTGAGTTTTAATTGGGAGTTAATATATTCTTAAGAGAGAGGAATTTTGAAAAAATCACAAATTAATAGAGTTTTATGAGAGGAAGACTTTTTCTATAAAAAGTTGGACTAATGCATTGAAAAACAATATTCATAATGTCACTCTGCATTGGAATACAAGATTCACTGAATTATGAAAATTATAGAAAAAAGAGATGAATTAGGGGTATTTTAGGAAGAAAAAAATTAATTATACATAGAAATTACAAAACGACTTATATTTTGGCACAATTTTTTTTCCAAAACGACATATAATTAAAAACGGAGGGAGTATAACAATTTAATTTTTTAATAAATAATTCGGTTTAAAAAAAATAAGTTTTAACAATTCAAAATTTTGAAACGGCATATTAAATCAATAATTTTAATTTGATTCAATTCTAAATAAATTATAACGGTTTGATTTAATTCGAGTGAACTTTTTCTATATTTTAATTCATTTGATTCATTTGTCTGAGTGGATTGTTGTAGTTAATTATTTTTGTAACATGATTATTGATTTCTAATGAAAATATAAACGTGCCTTAAAAAAGTTATCGTAGATTCATAGTAGATAGTTTAACGATCGACGCTTTTTATGGTATGGTAGCAATTAATTATGGATGATTATGTACATCTTTTGTGACGTGGGAAATTAAAACTTGACATTTAAGGAAGTAAGCCTTCACGTAAAATCATGTCGTTTGTTACTTTTAACAATTTCTCAAAGTAAGCATCATAAATTGGTACGTCTAATTAACAAATAATGTGATTGACATGCGAATATGTTTATGTCAACATCTAATTAAAGAATTATCTGTATGTTGATTTTGTGGAGTATAGGTTAGTGGTAGGAAGCTCTTTATTAACGTTGTTTTATCAATAAAATCTATAAAAACGGTAGAGATTATAATTTCTTATATCAAAGTAAGTTGTGTTCGATGAAAATAAAGATGTGTTAAAACTGTAGTGTAGTACGTCACTCTGTTTTTTTTTAAGTATCACTTTTTTGATAATTTTTTATTTTTTTAATTGTTATTTGCAATTTTTAATATAGTATTAATTGTATTTTTGTCAAAATTATTCCTAAATAATCATTACAAAGACAAAATAAAATAAAATGAGTGTAATAAATAATTATGGAGATTATAGATAAAAAAAAATAACTATTATTTAAAAAATAACAATATTAATTAATTTTTTTGGTATATGTAAAAAGAAAAAAGTACTTAAAAAGAAACGGGAGTAGTAAACATGCACTAGGAAACTCAAATACCTATAGGTGTAAGTTGAATAGACAAAGTTGAATAAATAAAAAATCCAAATCAAATCAAATAAAAAATTTGATTTTATTCAATTTGGTTTTTAAAAAAATCAAACCAAACAAATTTAAATCGAATTTGTTTGGTTTGGTTCGATTATTAATTTTTATTTTTAGAAATCAAAAAATCGATGAACGGAACCGGTGTGTATACTCATCTCATGTGTAAGCCCATGATTAGTAAGTTCAACACAATAAAACACGTATGTTGCTTCACTTCACTTCTTCCTTATGCGAATTATAACAAACTCTAAAATAAGATTCTTTCATTCACCACAAATCTAAGTTTCACTGCTCATCGTCTCTATTATGATCATCTTCATTGTTTTATGGTCTTCTCCATTATTCTATTCATCAAAACAAACTCTAAAATAAGATTATGTCATTCACCACAAACCTAAGTTTCACCGCTCACTGTCTCTATTATGATCATCTCCATTGGTTTATGGTCTTTTCCATTGTTCTAGTCATTGCCATCATTCTACTAATCTCTATTCTAGTTGTCGTCTTTGTATTTTATATTTTATTGATTAATTTTCTATCTCTTTCTGTTCTGGTCTGGGCCCAGCCTCGCGGTCTAGCCCAATAACGCACATGGCCCATTAAGTGGACTAGTCCGACCGGGCACACGCGCCCCATAGGACGGGCAGGGCACGCTCTCCGCCGGGATGGACGACGCGCCCTGTAGCGTCTCAACATCCTCTTTATCGGCCGAACAGGGCACACCCCGGTCCGTCGAGCAAGACCTTTGGTTCCTCCACATCCTCGTGTTCTCCCCTCCGCGGGGAGAACAACCTGCCTCCGGGGAACCTCCCGAGCTCCCCTCCGCGGGGAGAACAACGTGCCCGGTGCACGTTCTCCACGTGCTCCCCTCCGCGGGGACACGTCACCTAACCAACTGCCCACCTCCGAAAGAGCAGGTCAAACCCACTTTGCGGAGATCACGGGACAGTTGAACTAGGGTGAAGACCACGTTCTGGTCTTCACTACGCCACGTAAGCCCTAGCAGTCACCTGGGATGGGCCTGACAATCTAGCCCAACGCAAGTGACTGTTGGCCCAGCGCTGGGGTCTTTCTATAAATACCCTCTTCCTCAAGAGGGTCAGGTAATTCACATCTTGCCCTTTCTGTACTTTGCTCTCACTCTGCCCAATTCCTTACTTTGGCATCGGAGTGTCTTGCAGGTACACCCTCATTTCTCCTCCTCATCACCGGTGAACAGGTAGCAGTCCAACAGCGTGTGGTCAGCCCATGATCCCCTTCTGATCAGATCACTTTCTATTTTTTTTCATAATTAAAAATGAATTAATATTTTATTTTACTTTGTATTTTTAATCTTATAATGAAATTAATTTCAAAATGGCAGGATTTATAATTGATGGTGAACTATCATCATCTTAAATATGTAATGTGGTTTTATTTGTATTTGATAGCAAACCATCAATATTTTAAACATATTATAGGAGTATCGATTTATTTAATTTGAGATGAATATATTTGTATTTGATTAAAACTATCATCATTTTAAAGATATTGTATAAATTTATAAAATTTTGATTATGTTATGAGTTTTTTTTATTTAATTTGAAGTTGATCAAGAAATAGAGTAATAAAAGTATTTTAAACCAATCAATTCAACCGAACCAAACTAATTAACTTTATTGATTCTATTTTCTTAAAATAATGAAATCCAAAACCAATGTAAATTTCAATGGTTTGAACTTTTTTTATTGAAAACCGATCCAATCCAAATCATTACACCCCTAGAAATAAACCCACATTCATATAAAAATAGTTGAACAAAGTATATTAAGCTAAAAATTAATTTGAAAGAGAAATATTCCAAACTTAGGTTCAAATTAAAATTCATTTAGAAAGCAAAAAAACTCTACATAAACTTTCAAATATATCAACATCAATTGTTTTAGAATCATTTTTATCTCTAATAAAAATGAACCCAAACATACAGTTCAAAAATTGTCTTGCCACAAACCAACATTATAGTTTGTTTAGATGCTTTTTAAAGGAGGTTTGCATTTTCTTCACCCTACTGTATTCAAGTTTGTTTGGGTGTACTGAGATTTGAAGAAATAAAGGTAGTGAAGTGCTATGAACATTCGCTAACATGTGTTCTCTTATCGGGTGAAATCTATATGGTCTCGCATACTCACGTAAAGTGGTGGAACTCATGGATTTCAACCGATAAGAAACGAGTGTTATAGAGAGTGTTAAAAAGGGAGTATTCCTCTCAATTGATCAATTACGAGAAGGGGGCTTTGGCAAAAGATAAGTAATTGACAAGAACTTTATCAAAAACACAAGCTCTGAACTCAATCATCAACAGCCCAAACCATGAGCTTTAGTAGTATTATAAACCCAGAAATTAGTATATGCTCCTAAGCAACCATGTGCTTACTGGTCAATCCTTGTTGCCGAAGACATACCAGGGGACGGATATTAGAAACGTTGACACAGACCCATTACTTGAATGAACTATTTAATGACTTTATAAAAAGGGTAACCTACCATTAAATCATGAACCTGCAATCTTTTCAGAGTTTGTGGAGTTTGCAGTAGTAAACATCAATTATGAACACAATGGAACAGTAATGCCAGATGATAATAATGCGTGCAACATAGTATCATGCATGTTTTTAACTCCCTACCTATGATGTAAAAGTGTCGAACTCAAAAAATACCACAAATCTATTCCAAAATGTTGTCTGCATAGGTTCAATAGTCTCACCCAAACAAGTCGTCATCATCATCATCATCATCCTCGTCAGCATTGCTTCGATTACTGTCAGATTTTCCACTTAATGTATTCTCTTTTCCATTCTCCTTAGCTGCTTGAGCTTGTTCACCACTATTGATAGGTGGGTATGCCCATGCTGATCCAACTTTGACGGATAATGATTCTCCATAAAGGTCATCATAAATCCCAGTTTTAACGGGGTTTTTGATCTTTTTTAGGACTTCTTGTAGTTTATCAGTCACGCCTTTTTGGGATGAATCTGCCTCCTTAACAGAGGACTGCTCTTTCCCCTTTGGAATTACAGTTATCTGTACAAGAGATTCATATTTACCTACAAGACTTCCTTCTTTAACACCAACTGGACCAGGTTCTGTTTCTACATCTACACCATCTGATATTCCAACAACTTGAACTAATTCTCCCCCAACTTGATCCCTGAAGGAAACTCTTGTCTTCTTAATTCTCTTAGCAGCTCTTTCTAATTGCCGGTCCTTGTTTTGGCCACTTGCTGAACCGCCAAGCTCACTGGATTTGGAGACTAGATCAGACTTGTTGATGCCATAACGATTCAGCAGCGTATTATAAGTAACAACAGCTTCTTCATCAGACGGGTCAGGAGGTGGTGGGAAATTAATCTCTGTGGGCGGTGGAGGACGAGGAAAAAGAGCTGCATCATTCTTTCGTAATACGTATATTCTCGTGGATGCAGCAAACCGCAGTGATTGTCCCACTTCAAACTCAATTGGTGAGTCCTTGGTCAATCGCTCATTTGCAACAAAGGTACCATGTGCAGATCCCAAATCAATTACATACACGCTGAAATAAAGTAAAAAATTGTTCAAGCCAATAAAACCCCCATTTGCTAGGGAATCCTCATTCCTAACATATATAAGACATATTTTAGTTCAATATCCAACAAAACACTGAAGTGGTTGCAAACACAGCTGTAATTCATTTTTACGAGATTGACTAATAAGCACGTTTGACTACTTTAGTTTGATATGATAATAAGGTGCCATTTGATCCAGCTAATAGATGCAAGCTATTGGAAAAAAATATTTAGTTTGTCTGTTGTTGCATGCTTACTTTTGAGATACTATTTAGAATAAGTATTCAGAAAGAAAATGACATGATAGTTATATAGAGAAGGAGGAGATAAGTTCTAACCTCCCATTCTTGTGAGGAACGACCGCAGCATGTTGGCGTGAGACAGATTGATGATCAAGCACAAAATCACAAGTCTGGATTTGCCTCCCAAAGATATGCCTCCGTCTATCCAAATTAATCCGATCTAACACCTGACCATCCTTCATAACTTCCAAATAAAAAACACCTGGCCGTGGCTCAATCGCCCAATCTGGCGGCTGCCACGTCGACTGCCCTCCTCCAATCTGAGTTGCGTGTTGATTCTGCCCCAACAAGGGGGCAGCCTCAACTCCCACAGCTTTGTGAGAAGCATGTTGCTGTGGTTGATGAGATTGGTGTACAGAATTCCGAGACTGTGATGGCCAAGCAGGCGAATGACCAACTACCTTATTAGAGGACTGAGCAACATTTTTCGAAGACGAATTGATAACAGAAAACGGTTCCAAACTCTCAGCTTTCTTAAACCTATCAAGACCCGACGTTCTTCCATACATTCTCTTTAACTAGTACGAGCTCATAAACAAGTTGCATCACAATGCCGCAATGACACAAAATCTGAAGAACATGCTATTAACCTCTCTTTACACAAACCCTAAAACTAATTTGGGGAAAAAACAATTCAAACACACCTGGTAAGAAAGTGACATTAATATAATAACATATCACAAACATAAAAATTAGCTCAAAAGAAAATATACAACACTAGTACAGGATGATTATAAGAGAAATGGGTAACCAGAAATGAAAACACGTGATTCATACTATCCGATAGTAGGAATATATAATTAATCTATTTTAAAATTGGGGATAAATCTAACACATGATATAGCTATAATTAAAGCGATTGAAATGAAAATTGCAAGTTAAATTTCCATGTTAGAATTGAAATACAGGGGGAAAAAAATTTTTTGTTGTTTTAACAAATTGATTATTGAAAGGGGAGTTAGATAATCGTACCGGTTAGGGTTTTAGAACGCTGCGTTTTAGAGAAGCGATGCTGGAGACAGAAAATTCTAATATCAATTTCTTTGTAAATATTTATGTTTTGGAATTCTGCTACTACCCCCGTGAGATTTTCATTTTCCATTAGTTCTTTTTTTTTTCTTCAAGAAAATGGGGTTGGGATAGAGTGTTAAACAATTTGTGGAATCCTCCCTACACCCCAAATTGTACTTGGCACCTCCACACTCTCTATGTTTTCACCATATTAATGCATTTCTTTTTATAAAAGTTATTGGAGAAATTTGAATTTTTACAAAATCTTTGTAACTTTTTGAACATTTCACATACATTATCGGATATTTTGCGTTTGATGACTAAGTATAATTTTTACCGCACTTTTAAATATTTTTTGGATTTTTTTTCTTCAAAATATGCAGTAAAAATGCATCTATTTTTTCGGATTGTTTGAAATGTCTAGTAAAAATGCATATATTTAACCCGATTTTAAAAAAAATCGGTAAAATTGGATACAATATTCCGTATTTTTCAAAAAGATCTGGAAAAATGGATGCATTTTTACTGCGCACTTCAAAAAATCCAGAAAAAAATGGATGCAATTTTACCGGACATTTCAAAAATCCAGAAAAAAATTGATGCATTTTACCGCACGTTTTGAAAAATTCGGATATATGTATACATCATTACCGCACATTTTGAAAAATCTAGAAAGTTTAAAGGCACATATGGTACGAGTGCGCGATATAGCTATTGGCATGGCTCGAGAGGGGAGGTGATGTGGATGACTCGCGCCTCAAGGCAGGGAGAATGGCACCGGCCGATTTTCACAGGAGACTACTGGCCGATCAGGCTCAATTTCGTGCACTCCATAATATCCAACGTAGAGGATCTCAATCTGCTTTTGTACGGACGAGAGATGTTGAGGATGAGCCAGTTTATGTGCCCCATCGAGAAAGATAGAGGCAGATGTGTCTGATTTGTCAGAGATAGAGGTTACTCATACTCTTAAGATGGCAGAGGTGCCTTGTAACACCCCAGACTACTTTCAGGATTACCGACTGACCCCACAAACTAACATGGATCTTTTCAGCATGCTTTTTCCTCACTCACATGCTTTCTGGGAAACTTCTCAGAAGGTCACCCATCCCTAAAATTCTCCAAGTCAAGCACGCTTAACTGTGGAGTTCCTATGGAACGGGCTACCGAAAAGAAGATGCATCTTGTTGGTATATGTAGTACCAATTAATCCTTATAAGCCTTCCTTCAACCATGCAGTCCCATACCTGCATAGACTCAAGATCCCTCTCATTCCGATGTGAATTCGATTTTTTCCTAGAAGCTGCTAGGAGTGTTTCATTCTCATGCCTCGTGCACCGACAACCACTCCCTCGCCCACGGGTGTTTACATGTAACCACTCTCCGCCCTATTGGGCCTCGGGTGTTACATACCCACTAACTTCCACTTGGTTCATCCCCGAACCACATCGTACTGGAAGAGGTCTGGCTCTGATACCATTTGTAACGCCCCAGACTGCTTTCAGGATTACCGACTGACCCCACAAACCAACACGGGTCTTTTCAGCATGCTTTTTCCTCACTCACATGCTTTCTGGAAAACTTTCCAGAAGGCCACCCATCCCTAAATTTCTCCAAGTCAAGCACGCTTAACTGTGGAATTCCTATGGAACGGGCTACCGAAATGAAGATGCATCTTATTGGTATAGGTAGTACCAATTAATCCTTATAAGTCTTCCTTCAACCATGCAGTCCCATACCTGAATAGACTCAGGATCCCTCTCATTCCGATGTGAATTCAGTTTTTCCCTAGAAGCTGCTAGGAGTGTCTCATTGTCATGCCTCGTGCACCGACAACCATTCCCTCTCCCACGGGTGTTTACATGTAACCACTCTCCACCCTATTCGTCCTCGGGTGTTACATGCCTCATCCTTCTAAGGAAGATGTATCATCTACTATAGAGGTCATTCCTCCTATTGAGACAGATATCTCTGTCCCTACTTTGACAAACTCGTCTGTACACACGGATGGGGTTTCCTAGTGGGCCTAGTGACACTTTTGTTCTCATAGGATATGCGGACCATGTGGCTTTCAGGTTATGGCAACGAGAGGTATGTATATGATATGTCAATGATATTACTTTATTTATTAATGATACTTTAAAATTAACTAATCTTTTTTCTTTTGTTTATTACAGGACCGGATTTCACTTAAGGTGTCCACTCATAGGTTGAAGCTGAAGAAGTTCTCTGATGTCGTGATGCCATCAGAGATGAAGATGATAGTTGATGAGTGTGGTCTCCTTCCACTAGTTGACAGTTTACAGGTCATGCTTGACGGTCTACTATTGTCTACTATTGGCAGCCTTTGTTGAGCGCTGGCACAATGAAACGTCTTCATTTCATCTTCTATTTGGTGAAATAACGATTACATTGGATAAATTCTCATAACTTTTTCATATTCCACTATCAGTAGTTTCTTCACTGTTCATATAATTAGTCAGGAGACCGCATGTTTGACATATGTACAATACTTAAAGGTTACAAAGGAGAGTGTGATTGTGGAGTTTAAGTATATGAAGGGTGTTCAATTTTGCCTATCTTAGATGCGGGATAGGTATGGTGAACTAGTGCATCAAGGTATGTATGAGGCAGTTGTTAAGGTATACATATTACATCTTGTAGGATGTACTATCTTATTGGATAAATCTCATGTATACATCGACGTGAAGTACATGTGTTTGTTTAACATCCTTAAGCATTGCAACTGGGCATGGGGTGTGCTGCATTGACGATTTTATACTGCCTTTGGAGAAGTAATTGTTTTTGAGACCAGACATCTTATCGGTTATATGAGTTTGTTTCAGGTATAACTAAATTATTATTTCTTATTATGTTAGTTCTATTTATGATATTATTTCTAGTTAAATGAGTCTTTGTTATTGTGTGCAATGTTGGATATACGAGCATTTCCCGTCCATTTGTGACAGGAGGGTTGTTGCTACAACTTCTGGGTCCCCACGGGCCAAGAGATGGAGGAGCATACATGCATATCCGGGAGGTGTTATGGAGTACGAGAGGAGGATTAATGCGCTGACTATAGATGATGTTATTTTGACACCTTACACAGGCCATATAATGGATGAAAAGGTCGAGGATGCTATACTTTTTTTTGGTTACCTACGATGGGGGAGGGTTATGGATATGTGCAAGACATCCACGATCAACCCATACTATTCCATCTTAGAGCATTCATATCTTGTTTCGTGGTAACATTTATGAGTTCTGCATGTGCCATTATCGATCGTGTGGTGGAGGTTCAGTTCTCTGCGGATTGGTGCCTTATTCTATCACACCCTGCATCATCCCACCTAAGCAGCATGGAGATGATATTGGACCTTCTCGTGTTGGATCTTCACATATGTTGATGTTGGGGTACCTTCTTATGACCGAGTGTTGTAACACCCCAATTTTAGTAATTATTTATTTAATTAAATTAATTGTGTGATTTGTACCTATTTGATTTAATTGATTTAATTGAATTATGTGATTTATTTGAATTAATTAATTTATGTGATTTATTTGAATTATTTGATTTATTGAGTTTATATGAATTGTTTAATTTATATGAATTATTAGGTGTATATAAATGAATTGGTTTGTTTAACTTATATGAATTAATTGATTTAATTGAAATGTGATTTATTGAATTAATTGATTTAATTACTTTATTTAAGTTAATTGGTTTATGTGATTTATTTTTATTTGGTAGAATAATATAGAATTGCTAGATTTAGTAATTGAACTTAATGGAGAGTGGGAATAGAAATTGTGACAGTGGGTTGAGTTAAGCTCAATTGTTTAAAGACAAATGTTAGGGTTTGATAAGAGTAGAGTATAAAGATAGAAAGAGAGAAAAAGTTGGAAAGAAGGAGAAAAGAAGAGTGAAGAAGAAGAACCAAGAGAGAGAGCACAAGAATCATTAAAAATCAAGGTAAGGGTGAGTTTTTATATAATTATTGGGATTATATGATAATGTATGATGGATAGAAATATATTTAGAATGAAACCCCTAAATTTTAATAATTTTGTGATTATTAAGTTTTGATGATAATCTTTGACTTGTGATAATTAGTTTTTAATTGGGATTGATATATATTGGTGTATTTTGCTACTGTCTTTGAAGTCAATTAAAATAGAAGGATTACTTTGATGTTGAACAACAACAAAAGTTGAAAGTGTGATATTAATTAACAAATGTAACACAATATTATTTTCAAAAGAAATTGTGATAATTCTAAGAATTTGCCTACTGTAGCGTGATTTTCAATGGAACAAAATGTAGGGATACTTAATCATGTGACACCATCTTATTTACAGGAATTGAAAAGTGATATTGCTTTGGTCTTGTAGCAGACTATATATATATATATATATATATATATATATATATATATATATATATATATATATATGTATTGAAGTCAACGCATATGCTACTCATATAATGAATTATGATAATATTCGGTTACTGTAGCTCTTAGGACTTATTAGTATTAATGCAATGGATATGAATTGCTGATAACGCCTAGTGCCCCTGTAGCGCCATTAACTAGTGTCCGTAGGCACATGTAGTAAAAGATGGAAAGTTGTAGCAAGGTAGGAACAATGTGCATGTATGATGTATTTAGTAACCCAATGAAAAACATGATGAATCATAATATGACCTACGACTTTGATCCAAACAAAAAGTCACGGTAGTTCCTATCCTTAAAAACATGTTAATTATGTAGTACATACATATTACAATATAGCAGGCACATGATACTAGTTATTGTAGGTACCTAACACCTTGAAACAAACAAATGTGGAAATGGCCACCTGCATTTAAGAACAGTAGTGCATTTTTTATAATTGGAACATGAGCAATTGTAATGAAATTTGGAAAATAGTACACGCTTCTATGAACTAACGAAAATGATTGGTCTTGCTTTAGAACTAGTATTACTTGGATTGTAAATAAGAAAGGTGATACTCCTTTTATTAAATTAGATTCATGCCTTAGTTAATAACTCCTTTATTTAGTTTAATTATATATCTTGTTTAAAATAAATAATAATGATATTACATCTCATTGATCATTAATATTTATTTGTAGTCATCATATGGATGTCTAATTTAATTATTGATGATGGATTAATTATTCTATATTTAATCAGAATGTGTACTTTGTGAATTGAGGTTGAATCGTGTTGATACCTTGTGTAATTACTTGTTTGTTGTGATGATAATACAATTGAGATTGTATTGTGAAATGTGTTGTATACCATTTGAAAGTAAAGTGTGTGTGGATGATGCATAAAAATGTGCAAGTATGGGTAATTGTGTGGTAATTCAAATGTGATGAATTATTGAATATATGCAAAAATATTAAGATTGGAGGATGGTCTTAAGTGCATATGATTGTTGTATTTGCACGCGCATCATTTGTGTCAAGAGGCAATGCTTGCTAATTCCGTGGGAGCTAGTGACTTGTCCCAAACCTAGATCGGGGTTTGAAAGCTTAGGGAATGGGCTTTTGTGTGTTATTGGTCTAGGAAATGGACCCGATTTACATGTAAAAATTAAAAAATAATAACAAGTGTTGGTACCACATGGCATGAGTTGCATTTGAGTCTTGCATTGAGTCGCATTGAATATATGTTTGCGATATGAGACTATGTGTGATATGTGAAATTGATGGATTGGTGAATTATGGAGTTGTGTGTATATGTTTGTGAATGGTATGGTTACTTGAGTGATACTTTGTTGATGAAACTTTTGAAGTGTGAGAATAATTGTGATTATGATTGTATGCCCTAAAAATTATATATCATCTTATGATTTCGATAATTATGTGAATTCTCACCCTTCTGTTGGAATGATGTTTGTACGACATCGCTCAGGTACCAAGGAGTAGAGTTGCTTCTAGCGCGGGGTAGCCGTGGAGTAGCTTGATTAGTGTCTTCTTGCTAGAATCTGATTTTTATTTTGAAAAAAATGAGTGTTGCATCTGGATTGTATTTTCGGATTGTTGTTGAACGACATACAAAAGTTATTTTCGGATCAGTGCAATGTTGAATTTGGTGAGTTTTAATTTGTTTCTATTATGATTGGTCTTAGATATGATGCACTATGATGCTCTTCTCAAAGTTATTGTACCACTGGATGTTAAATTGGTTGATGTTGAGGAGATATTGGTAAATAATTTACAAATGAACAAGAGTTTGTTGTTCGCGAACATAGGCTCCAATCGATCTACACGGAGGTTGTTAAATTAAGGTTTGACATTCTAATCAAGAGGTTAGAAAATATTTTTGATAAAAGACAGGAATTTGTGATACTAAGATGTGAAAGAAGTGGCAAGTACATAGAACCTATCAAAAGTTGAAACGAGATGACATTGATTTAAGGAGATGTAAGCGTCATTTTATGTTGCACGAGTACCTTATGACGAATAATATATGGACATTTAATGAGATTTATGATATACATAATCATGACATGTGTTACAGGTTACTCGGTCATCTTATTGCATGTCACCTTAATCCTGAAAAGAATGAATGTGTTTCTAATATGACATTAAACATGGTGCATCCCAAAAACATACTTGCAACATTAAAAAGCGGAAAAGATCTTTAAATGTCTCAAGCAAGTTTACAATATTCTTCCTCAAAACAGCAAGGTGATAAGATGTCCAAGAACTAAATGCAACAACTTTTAAGCTTTTGGATTATAACCATTATGTATTTAAGTATAGAGTGTGCATGGATGGAGAAACCGTTCGAGATATATTTTAGACTCATCTTAATTTCATCAAGTTGTTCAACACATTTGTCATTGTTCTCATTGTTAATTCAACATATAAGACCAACAAGTATGGGCTTCTACTTCTAAAAATTGTTGGTGTTACTTCTAAGATGATTAGTTTTTCAGTTGGGTTTGCATATTTGGAAAGTGAAAAGGAGGACAATGTTATCTGGGTTTTAGAAATGTTCCGGACTATGTTGAAGGTCCAAGAAAATATGCCTAGAAGACACATGAGACCGAGAAGACGATCCCCCAACTAGAAACAAAGTCTCTCCAAGTGTAAATCGTGAGGGTTTAGCTTTCTCCATGCTAACGGGAGCATGTTGGTTCACTCTACCATGTCTTAATCTTTTTTGGTTGTCAGACATTTTTCCTACAATGAAACAAGCAGAAAAACATATCATAACATAGTACAAAACAAAACTAAAAAACAATGAAGCAAAATCAGCACAGAAACAAACCAATCCAAAAATCAGATAAATGGAAACTAGGAAACAAAGTCTCTCCAACTGCAAGTCGTGAGGGTTTAGCTTTCTCCATGCTAACGGGAGCATGTTGGTTCACTCTACCATGTCTTAATCTTTCTTAGTTGCAGATATTTTTCCTACAATGTAACAAGCACAAAAATATGTCATAATAAAGTACAAAACAAAACAAACAAAAAAATAACAACGAAGCAAAACTTGCACAGAAACAAACCAATCCAAAAAGCAGATAAATGGAAACTATGAATTTTGTTCTCCGAACTAAGGGTCAAGATTTCAAAATCAGGAGTGCAATGAATAAAAAACACGAAGCAGAAACAAAACATGCACGAGCCCTAAGCTCTAATGTTCAACATTTCAAAGCAAAGCAGATTCACACAAACAAAAATGAAATATCTATTACATTTAAGCTTAATGTATCAATGCCTATAAACTATTTAAATAATGTATGTGAAATCAAAAAAGAAAAGGGAATGAGTAACTTACCAATGTAACTTGAGACATGTCAAGATTCAATGCAATAGAGAAGAAGCTCTAAGAATGCTTGAAAAATGATGGAACAAGCTTTGAGAACGCAAATTAGAAGAATTTTTCTGGTTTTGCTCTATTTGCATGAATGAAAACGGGAAGGAAAGGGAAAAGCACAAATACTTAAACAAAAGTGTCTATATTCCAACCTATGTAAGCAATTCAGACATTAGAATCCATAGTATTTTGAAATTGTGCAATTCTAAGATTAAAAATAGGTGTGATGTGTTAGGCGCATCCAGAGTTCAATCTCCATTACTTACTATACAAATTCCAAAGTCTAATTTTTTTTATAACTTTAGCTTTGGCGTATTTCATAGAAGACTTGTTGTGTATTAAATGCGTCTGGATTTTAGTATTCGGATTTGAGAGTTATTTTTGAAATTTAGGCGGAATCGATGAGTAAATCATGGGGTGTATTGAACAATCCCCAAAAGTAGAATGCTATGTTAAGAAATCAGACCAAACTTAAATTTTATGACATTTAAAAACGAAAAAGCCATAGTACTCGGAAAGTGTTTCAAATTATTTATAAAAAATGTATCTCAAATAATCAATCAATAAGGAATTGAAGGACCAGTGCTTCATATCATATCATGGTCTTCTAAGTTCTAAGGCATACATTTTTTTTTACATTTCCTGTATGACAAAAAGCAATACTTACTGGTAAACTGTAACAATCCTAACAATTATGAGTATACATGTTGCTGACCCTTGTGATAAACTATCAACTATACTGCTACAATCTAAGTGAGTATCTTCTGCCATAGTCATGGTTATGCACAATGGAACAATCAGGTACATCTCTCCTATGAGTAATCTGGTTTGAAGACAAAACTTAATATCAAGTCAACCAAAGAGCACGATTTTCAGCAGCATTCTAGTTCTGATAAGAGTTCCATTGATATTCACTAAAGATAGGATTGTCATGCAATCCAAGGACAAACAACACATTCACGCAAACCTTATAATTTGATATACCATATATTCGAGTCCGAGCCTGTGAATGGAATCAACATTTGTGCTGACATGTTGATATCAGCTACCTCCTCCGTGTCTAAGTCTTATTTGCTATCTAGGTAAAAGCTCCTTCTCAGCTAGACTAAAGGTCAATTTAAGACGTTCTTGCAGATTTTGTAGAATGTTCTTTGTAATCCTTTTCTGATTCTTTGTATTTTTCAGCCATTCAATTCCGAAAAACACTAGAACTCTACACCCCTTTGCTTTTGGGGGTAAATCTTCTATTTGATAGCGAAGGTGTATCTGCAGCAATATTCAATGATGCAGGAGATGAAAATCAAATAAAGATTACATACAAGAAGAGGTAAATCATAGAACACGGAGATAAATCGGTCACTCACATTGAAATAATCACCAAGAGGAACACCATGAAGATTCAAAACTTCTTCTACAAGCCAACCCTTTCCATCTAAAAGGGGAGATCTTTGTTGAGTACTTGTCACTTCACCTTTATAACTTGAAACATGCTTCTCAAATTTGTAATATACTGCCCTCTCAGAGATATCGCTGTTCTCTGATACCCAAGGGGTATAAGAGTAATTAAGACAACCAGAGTTTTCCATAACCCGACGGTCAACCTCACCTCCACTAAATATCTCCATTAGAAAACTTGCCTATAATAATTAAACAAAAAGAACTATAATCAAACTTACATTTGAAAACTTGTACTAAGAGTTGAAAATCGTATGTATGTGTGTTAAGAGGAGCAAGAAAAAGAGAGATTACAGGAATTGGAAGACAACACGAATGAATCTCAGACATGCTAACATCATCCAGGACAAGGTACGAGCCACTATCTTCACTTATAAGGGTTTTGGTTTCAGATTCCTGTTCAACAACCTTCACTTTCTGCTCAGGAGTCAATGATCTGGCCTTCCACAAAGCCATAACCGTCCTATTTCATCGCCAAAATAGTTTATAAGTAACATAGGATATCTTTTATATTACTATCTATATTGCCTTTGCAAATAATTTCTTAGAAATAGGAATATATAAGATACTATAAAATGACTTTTTACTTGTGTGCGACATTGAACGATACAAAGGACTGGAAATTGAAATTCAGCCTTCCTTGTTCGTCTTGTGTTTTTGCACCATGCCTTGCATCGACACCTCTACCCGGCCGAAGAGTTATGACAACTATTGGACTTCCCATTGATGAAAATGTTGGAGGAATAACCTGAATGTCTTCAATATCCTCCCAAAGAAAAAAGAATTTTGTTTTCTTTCCAAACAAATTAGCATGAAATCCAATTATTCTTGGTGATAGAAATAGGCGTCCCTGCAGGGGCATTTTTCTTTTCAAGTGACATGTGAAGTCATTGATGAGAAATTCCTCAGGTGGAAGCCCGAAGAGTTTCTGAAACGCCGAATTAGTTTGAGGAGACCGCATATTAATCTACATGTTTTTCAAAATGAAAAAAATAAATAATAAAATCCATAAGAAAGGTAACGAAACAGAAATACAAAAAATAGAAGACGGAGTGTTTTACATACCTTCTTCCCAACCTCTTTTTCCATTTTACTTAAATAGTCTTTCGTTACGTTTCCACCTCTAGTGTTGTCCAAGAAAATTCTCAAGTGCAACTTAGACTGACATGCCAAAGCTAACTTGCCTTCAAGAGGAACCCATGTATCGGCAAGATCTGAGATGTTTGCTTTTAGAAAGTTAATTTCAGCATGCCCTAGACATGTAGTTGCATCAAAAGGCCCATCAAAATCATAAACTTCCACATCCATCACAGAAGGAGGATCATCCATTGCATCAAACTCAAATACTTCTGTAAAGATAGAGAATGCTCTTAACAAAAATAATTAATCATGTAATGATACCGTTTACGTTTCATGTATTCAAGTATCAAGTTATAAGGTAGAAAATACAAAATGAAGTCATGATATTCACCGTTCCATAAAGGATTAGATTTTTGGAACTTGATTGAACTGGTTCTTACTTTCCCATTGCACGTAAACACTACATATGGGTCGGAGAATCCACCAGAGTCCACGGAAGCTAAATGGCTTCCTTCAAGCAAGGCAACGGTTAATAACCACCCATCTCCTTGAGCTTTAATTCCATGATCACTGCCTAAAATTGGATCACCCCGAAAAGAAATCAGCATAAACAAAGACACAAAGAAATCAAATTACGTAAATACACAAGAGACTGTTTGGTTTAGTTTATTTGAGCTTATCTACTGACATGGTTACTTGTGAGACTGTTTGAAAGAACTTGTAGAAACAGCTTATGACATGCTCATAAGTTGTTCTCAATTTATTTTAATAAGCTCTCCAAAATATTATGAAAACAGATAAGTATTTAATGCGATCGGCATAGTATGATTACCCTTTTGTGCTCTGGCTTTTATGAAGCGTGATATTAAACCCAGCATGCGTTCACCTTGAAGAACCAGGACAGCACAAACAACGAATTCACCTACTGAATCTGGCAAATCAAGTCCAGCAAACTCGAGCCCTTGAATTATACTCGGAGCAGCAAGCCATATGTGGACAAGCACATACAACCCTATGAAAACTGTTGAGACTACTGTGAAGTTAGCAAAATACTGCACTGCCAGCTTCCAATCTGACTGCGGCTCTGCTTGTAAAGATGCCAAAGCTTGCTCCTTACTCGAACTAAGTTCTGTTAGATCAACAGGTTTGACATCCTGGGATAATAAACTGGCATATTGTTCAAAACTATCCTTCATACCTTGCCGAGCCCCATTCTCTATCATTCCTTTCATCATGGTGCTCTGTATGAAATTCATTCGCCATGATATAACCAGATGTGAACACTGTTCTCCTGAGGGCAACTCAGGTCCAGGTGTGATTATATAGAGTAATTCTACCCGAAAGGTGCTCCCATACACAACATCAGGAGTGCTGACAACGACGAAAACAGCAAAGTTCTTCCCATCAGCTTTTAAATATGTCTGGTCTTCAAAGGCTTTGACTGCCTTAATTAATTTGCTAGGAGCCTTGATGTAAGTGACTAATCTTTTGAGGCTCTCCCCGCCATTCTCAAATTTCCAAGGTCCTAATTGCAGTTCGGTACTACGTTGAACATCAGCCAATGACTTGAGAAAATTTGAATCGGAAGAAAAGAGAAGCACGTTCAAGTCTTCGGGTGCAATATTATAATGTTGATCAACTAACAACCCTCCAGGTAGGTTGCTAGGAATTTCACTTCCTTGATCTGAAGATTGTATTTTCTTCATAGCTTCTTCAAAAGTCTCGTCCGAGGACTGATCCTCAGTTTTGACCTCACTAACTTCCACTTTGGTAGTTTCTGTTTGGTCTGAGTCAATGCTTCTACGTGACGAGTTTGACGATACATCAGAATTCTTATTAAAGATATTAGCAATTCTCCCGGTGAGTGATTTCTGTGTACTGGGTTTTTCATCCTTAGTAGATGCAACTTCATCCCTTGCAGGAGAAGATGAGTTTGAATATCCAGTGGAAGACCTTGAAGGCGAATTAGTAATAGAATCCGCACTTTTTCTTGGATGGAATACTAGATCACCGTGAATATTTGACTCAACCGATGCAGTTTTCAGTTCAAAATATATGCTCAAACGAACCTCACCTGCAAAAGAAAGCCAAAATTTCAAAGTTCAAAATACCAGCAAAATTATGGTTCATATCTTAATTTTTAGTAAGCATGTTGATTTCCAAACAACTTAAAGCCACCCTTGAGATTTACTATCCATAGCATGGTGATTGCGTCTGCAACATAAGGAAATTGAGGTCTCCATATCAGGAATGCAACCAAGGTTTAAAAGACGGTCCATTACTGCAAAAACGGCCGCAATAAAACAGTATTGCAATGTGCCTATACTGATACCGTTATTCACCGTTTTTATGATAAAAAAGAAATTGTGGTTATTTGCACCAAGACAACCACAATCAGGATCGCAAAAGTCTTTATGCGACCACAACGCGGCCATGGCCATTATTTAACCACATATTCCTGCAATATAAAGGCTCCAAAGTAATCACGGCCGCATTTTAAAACCACGGTCCATACTCTCAAATTAGACAACAATCATTCAAATAATTTAAGTGCAAAATCAATATAAAACCAGCACAAATTTAAGCCAACAAAGTAAAACTAAGCCCCTTATTTGATCCTAAGATTTTCAAAACAGCTACTTTCGACATGAAACTAATTCAAACTAACTTCCTAGTGAGAACAAATTGATATCATTCAAAACAAACAACCAATAAACTAATAAATTAATCAAAACAACACACACCAGATTCCTTGTTCTTGGACTTCTTGCTTTTGGGTTGCAAACAGTACCAAGCAGTACCAAGTGATTTGATCTCCTCATCAAAAACAGTTGACATGGGAACTTTAAGCTGACCAAGAAAATCATCAATTAAGTACTTATCTTCATCCATAACAGAAACCACCAACTCTTCCTTAAGATCATCCACCTTAAAGCTAAACTCTTCATCCCACTTAGGATTCAAACTCTTCTTAACCACTTTGGTCCTAAACCTTTGTCTCCCCAACTGTAACCTCACATATGGATCACTCAACCCATTAAGATCCATCGGTGGCAAGTTCTTTGCCTCAATCACACGAACCACAAGCTTCATTATCCAAACAAAAAACTCAGAAACTTGAAGTCAAAATGTCAACTTTCTCTATGACCTTAACACCCCAGAAGAATATTTCAAAAGGGTAATGCAGTTTCTGCAGAAAGATATAATATTAGGTAGAACAATAAATGGGGCATTTAAATCTGTGAAAGAAAATCCGTGGAAAGTGATGATCTGTGTCAAAATAAATTCAAAAAAATTGAAACTTTATGAAACAAGAAGCATTGAAGAGTAAAAATTTGACTAACGAGGAAAATAATTGAGTGAATAATCAAGAAAAGGACATTGAATTGAAAGAAGCAAAGGCTTATGAAAAGTAATGAAAAAAGAAAAATTGTAATGAAAAGTGAAAACACTTTTTTTTCCTCGTTATATTGAGGAATTAAAAAAATAAGCACTTTTATTTTTCTTTTATTAGAAAAAACACTTTTATTAGTATTTTATAGTACTACTATTATTTATTGTATTTAATGATGATAGTTTTATAATTACAATATTGACCCTACATGTCTTTTTAGTCACACCGCGTTTGAATTGACGGAGTCTATATGCATACTATTCTAAAGTTGTTTTTTTTTTCTTTCAATTTAAATGATGGCATAATTCACTTTTATTTATTTATTTTGGCTTAAATTGAAATTTTGGATTTAGTAGATACATTTTAGGTTGGTTGGTTGAGAATATTGTGTTTAAATATTAGAAAATATTATGAATTTAAATATTAATATTTTATAAAAATTATTATTATTATTATTATTGATGAGAGGGTAACTTAATTGATATGAGTTAATTTTGGATAAAATATATTAATATAAATTAAATATTTAAAATATTAAAAAAAATATTATTATGATATGAATTATATTAAAGGTTATGTTTATTCCTCTCTATAAAAAAGTAAATTTTTTTTAAAAATTACATAACCATGAAGTTGCATAACATTAACATTACTCTTAGACAAATATATCTCTACAATTTTTTTCTTCTTCTTAATTTCCCTTTATTTTCCCTTTTCTATTCATCCATCTTCTTTGGTCTTTTTCTTCTTTTTCTTTGTCTCATTATTCAAATTCCAACCAATTTGACTATTTATTTTTTTGCGTTCCATTCTTTTTGCAAGTTTTATGCATTTTTGGTTTACATACACCAAGAATGCAAACCCCGTAAAAATAGATAAATGTAATTTTTAGAATTTCAAAATTACACATACAATTTCAAAATCATTTACAATAGGGTCCTCTAGCCTTTTTAACACCAGAATAAGAGAAAACACTTCAAAGAAACTCAAAAACACTTAACTCTATTTACTAGTGTGTGCTTGAGCATGCATGTGTCAATAGTACAATACTCCTTGAATATTATAGACACTTGTAAGTTCTGACTTTCAAAAACTCTTGCCAAATATTCAGAAAATGCATCACCGCCAAACCATTAACAAGCCAATCCCTCCCTTCCACCACAAAAGAACCAATTATCATGAAAATTTATACCAACAAACAACCACAAAGCCAACAATAATCTGATCTTGTTCAGGAACAAAATCAAAAGGACCAAACAAACCTTGCCACCAATAATTCCAAAGATAAAAAACACCATATGACATAGGCTTCTGACTTAGATGATGTGTATTTTTTAAAAGATAATTTTGATAAAAGTTCATATGTAGTTTGTTTTGTTAATGTTAAAATCTATCACAATTAAAGTGATTGTAATTATATCAACAACAACACCTTTAAAAGATAATAGAAAATAATTTCTAATTGAATTGATCAAACAACAACGAACTCGATAAATTGTATAATCAATAATAAAAGAAATATATATATAGAGAGAGAGAGGGACCAAGATTTATTTAGGTAGTTCTCCAATCGGCCTCACTATGGGTACGTCTGCCCTCAATTCAAAATTGAATTGAGATAATGTTATTAACATTTTCTTTGCAAAAAATGTTAATACAATAGATGAAGAATGCAAACCCCAAAAATCCTATTGTTTTGTGTTAATTTTTCCACCTTTAATCCTTGATCAAAGCTTGACCAAGTGACCAACAATGCAACTATAATCCTTTGATTATCCCGAGCACGCAACTTGTTGAAACCCAAGATTCCCGAACACAATTCACTGTCTCGCGCTACTCTCTTACAAGGAAATCACCTTGTCCTAAGACTTTCACTCGGTCAAATCTATGTTGACGTGATCTCGTCCAAAAACCTTCAAATCAACCCGATCTTGAAGGAAAACCCCACTTTAGTTTTCTTATTTGAAACACACAAAGCCCCCAACCCAATATTCTCAGTTACACCAAACCTAATTGGACGTTATTAACCATAATCTAGATGGTCACTCAATCGAAAAATGATTATGTGTAGTTCAATTGTGTGTATGCATAGAAGAAGGAATGAAGATGATTGGCAACATTGTAATCTGGTTTCGTTTAGGTTTTATTCACTAGGAAACTTTGCCTACAAGAAGATGCATGTATGAGTATATATAGGTATACGAGGAAAATTGACAAAAGGATGCAAGAAAATAAGATGCAAAAAGAAATTTTCAAATTTTAACTTGCTTAGGTCGGCCTATGAAGGTGTTTAGGTCGACCTATGAGGGGACTTGAAATGCAGCCTGTGGGCAAAATCTACAGGCTTGGTTCTTGGAGCGTAGGAGTCAGCCTGAAACATGGATGTGTCAGCCTGATCAGAAAGGAATCAACAGTCTGCCACGCGTCGGGAGCTCCTGTGTTCACCAGTGTTGTGGAGGAGGAGGGGGTGTACCTGCAAGGTACTCCGATGCCTAAGTGGGTAACAAAGTTAGAAAGAGCAAATACAAAGAGAATAGGTGTAGAAAATAGAATACCTGACCCTCTAGTGAAAGAGGGTATTTATAATGTGCCCCCAGCGCAGGGCCAACAATTACATTGCATTGGACCGGATTGTCAGACCCAACACAAGTAACTGTTAAGGCTTACGTGGCGTAGGGAAGACCATCACGTGATCTTCGTCCTGGATCAACTACCCCGTGGTCTTCAGAAGGTGGAATGACCATCTCTTTTGAAAATGGATAGTTGCCTCATGATGTGTCCCCGCGTGGGGAATACGTGGAGTCCGTGGGGAAGACGCGTTAGCTCTCCCCGTGCTAGATAGCGGTCTGGCCGACAGCAAAGTTATGCGTGCCCAACATGGGGGAATTGTGTCTTGTTGGACCTTCCCAACGTAGTATTGGGTTGGGCCTGCTTGACTGAGGGGCAGGTCTTGGCTCAGTCCAGAACAGGAGTCCCCTAATTCGTTCCTCCTAAGTGGAGGAGTAATGACTTAAGAGCTAGTTAGAGTGTCGAGGACCAGTTTGGAGGATGGGCAGCTTGCCTAGCATACGAGTTAGGGGTTGTGCGCGTGGCCAGGAGTGATAGATTCCCGACAAGACAGTAGGTCAAGAGGAGATCCGGTCGACGATCTCGCGGAGGTGGAAAATGAACGGGCGTGCTTGATCTCTGGGCACGAGGGAAAGCCGAGGGGACGCGCGTGGTGTCCCCTAGCACCACGTGTCACGTGTAATTAATGCCTAGGACGGCTATGCGTAAGGGCACTTGAGTGCCTAGTGCTGCCTCACTTCCCGTGCCAGGCTTATAAATAGGGGGAATGCCCCCCTCATTTGCATATTTCCCCTTCATACCTACCGGAATCCTCTCCAAGTTCTTCTTGTCATCACCATCACCGTCTTCGTTGCCGTTACTACTCTTCGTCGTCTAGATCCTCCTCCTACAAGTAAGTTTTCATTTCCTTTTTGTAGCATTATGCGTTTTCTAAAAACTCTCGTGAAGTTTCCGGAAAGCTATGAATTTTTCGGCCTGTCTTATGAAATTTCTGGCAAGGACGTCGGAAAGTTCATGAGGATTTCAGGATCTTCATGAAGTTCCTGATGAATGCCCTGGGGACCTGCGATGAAGGTCTTGGGGAGTTGGGATGAACGCCTTGGGGAGCCTTGCTCCTCGCGAGTGTAAGGCTATCATGGGGAGGTTTCACACAGGGTCTCCCCGCGTGTGTCGGGGTCCTCCCAATTGGGGAGTCTCTCTGTCGGGGAGGCTCGCCGTGTCGAGTCATCGTCGGGGTTTCTTTTTGGATGAGCCTCCGTTAAGGAGGGGGCCCATTGTTATGGGCTTCCTCCTCCCTCCCTTTGCCCTTTCACTTGATTTGCGGTGGAATGGTGGATTTGATCTTTGAAGTTGAATTCACTGTTTTCCTCTGCTTTTCAGGTAAAATGGTTGTAAGGATTGAGCGCATCATCCATATTGACAACGAGTCCGAGCCCGACACTCCTGTCAAGGTCGAAGAAGCTGAACCAGTTTGTACGCTCGAGGACTGGGCCGAGCAGGAACCTCTCACTATAGCGTCGTGCTTCACCTTTGATGACACGGACGCTTTTGCCACTATCGAGGACCGTCTAGAAGGTTCCTCCGTGAGCTAGATAGTCTACAAGCCCAAGGAAAAACACCGCATATTCTCGAGTTTTATGGAGATGAGGTTCTCAATGTAAAAATTTGCATTTCGAGAAGCGGGGATCCGCCTCCCCTTCAGCGATTTTCAGGGGTAGCATTATGGTGGTTCCGCCTGGCACCTTCGCAATTACATCCTAAACCATAGCGTTCGTGCGAGCATTTAAGCTCGTCTGCAAGTATCTTCGTATTAGGGTCACACTTCCCCTGTTCTTCCGCACCTTCCACCTTCAGCGTCAATCCTTCAAAGGTAGGCACAATTGAGTATCCTTGAAGTAGCCAAGGAAGTTGTTCCGGGCGTACCAAGATTTTGTCCGCACCTTCAAGAACAGGTTTTACATTGTGAAGCCTATGCTGCATGCGGACGTCGACTCTCTGTACGACCTTGTGTTCACAGAGGAGAATAGGGAGCACGAGGAGACCTTGGTGTCGAAATTTCCACTCGAGTGGGTCGAGGACCACTTCAACTAGGGCAAGGACAGCTATATCGTGAAGCATGTCGACCTGGATG